CCGCCACAACACCCGGCTATTTTTTGGTTGCAGCCGTCATTGTTGTTTGGCGGGTCCGGGCTGGATTTGAACCCGCCACCTTAGGTGTACGTGACTGGCGCCTTAGCCGGTTGAGCTACAGGCGCCGAGTCGGCCAAAATTATTCTAAAGCAAGACCTCAGATGACCATAAAGTTAATGATGTAAGCGACCAATGTCCTGGCAGACAAAAGACCTTGTGAGCCAAAGAGAACCTGGATAAAAACCCTGAGTTATGTGTGTAGGTGTGGACATCTTTTTTTTTTTTTTTAAGACAGAGTCTCATTCTGTTACTCTGGGTAGAGTGCCATCGTATCAGCCTAGTAACCTCAAACTCCTGGGCTCAAGGGATCCTCCTGCCTCAGCCTCCTGAGTAGCTGGGACTACAGGTACCCACCACAATACCCAGATAATTTTTTTTCTACTTTTAGTTGGGGTCTCACTCTTGCTCAGGCTGGTCTCGAACTCCTAAGCTCAAGTGATCCTCCCACCTTGGCTTCCCAGAGTGCTAGGATTACAGATGTGAGCTATCATACCCAGCCAGACATCTACTTTTTTAAGGTTTTTAATTCTGCAGGTCTTTTTTAAGCATCTGTCATGTGTTCTGTGCCTGCTCTGGGTCTTGAAGGCATGAAGATTATCCATCAGCCTTGGTCTTTCTTTTTAGAGCAGGGCTTGCCTTGCAGGGATCATGAAAGTGGGGCATCCTGGGTAGAGGTGAGGAGCCTGTTCCAGCTGCCCAGGGCCTTAGGGAATAGAGCACTGTGCTTGTCCTAGAAGCCAGGCCTCCACTAGGATTCTCAGTTTCTTTTAGATTGAGTGAAGCCAGAATTCCAAGAGGTGCTGGAGAAGAGTGGGAACAATCTTCCTTTATCAATTTGCTATATCCCTTTTCTTAGCTGGCTCCTGTTCAGGAGAGGTTCTAGTCTCCACCACTGGTTTGCTTCTACTGCAGTCTCCCTGGTTCCAGCTCCTTCCCTTTGCCCCATGCTCTTCCTCTCCAGGGACTTAGGATCAGCTGCTCTCAATGTCACCCTTCTTGACTGCCCACCACCATCAATTTGACATAATTTGAAACCTTCCACATTCCTACTGTGGTAGAGCCAGGCCTTTGTCTCAATCATCGCATGAGAAGAGCCAAACTCAACTCTTCTCAGAATTAAAAGCTTTCTTCTGCCAGCTTCTGCTACCTTCTGCTCTCAGGAGACCCATTAATAATAGGAGTTAAGTATTCCCAGGCCTCCCTTTCCCAAGGGGTTATCATTCTCACCCTCTCAGTTCAATGGCCATGACTAAGATGAGTAACTTCCTGGGCTGCCTGCCTGGTCCTGTGAGCCCATATGCCAAGTGACTGGAGCAGGCAGGCAAGGGGAATGGAAAGTGGTGACACAGGCTTCACTGAAGAAGCCAACATCCAGCAATCCTGGCCTGACTGGCAGGTTCCCAGACACAGAGCCCCAACTTGGGACCCTAGTAAGTGGCAAATGTATATGTACATTAACCATGCCCCTAAGCTCACAGATACACAGCCACATGGATGTTCATGTGATCCCACAGAGTGGCCAGGACTGATAGGGAAGCAGCTCATACCACTAAGAAAATAAAAAGGTAATTTCAAAAACAAAAAGAACTAACTATTTCAAATTTCTCTGTAGTTAATGCATTTGTAAAGGACTGTAAGTATGTGTGTGTGTGTTTGTGTGTGTATATACATGTATATGTGTATGTCTTAATCTTATTCATTGTATATCTATCCCCACTGTGCAACTTAGCTCACAGAAGCATATTTTTGTTTCTTCCTTGAATTGCATAGGCAAGTCCCTATGCCTGATTAGTCCCCATGTCTCTGGGGAAGTGCAGAGAGGGGCCGGAGGTCCCAGAGAGTTTCTAGAAGACAGCAAGTAGATCCTATGCACAGGGGAAACATGCAGACAGGATAAGACTGACCCTTGGCAAGATATCTGACATAGCAAAGGACTCTCTGGCCCCTTCTAGGGATGCTTCTAACCCCAAGCCCGGGCCCTACCCTGTTACTGCTCCATGCCTGGCTTCTTTGGCTAAGCTATAGTCCTAGGCAGGCCCCTGGCCTGGGGAACACACCCACCCCCTGTCTCACCCTCTTGAAGAGGCTTTGTGCCTTTCAGACTAAAAGATTGCTAAATCTATCTAGGCTGATGTGTTAACAGTAGAGGAAAGAAAACATTTCTCTCCACTTGTGGGGCTTTCTCTTCCCTTTGAGGTACAGAATATACATTTAAATTTAACTGGGGCAGTATGGAGACAATGTGTCTATCTCTGTTTTTTGCTACCAAAAATGCCTTTTATTTCAGTCCAGGCAGGAGAGAGGAGTAGGAGTGTCCTGTCAATGGAGGGATTCTGGGGGCAGCATAGCCAGGCAGGGCACAGACACTACGCCATATTGCTACCTGGCCCGGCTGTTCCCTCACACATATGGTGGAGGAAGGGAGAAGAGAGGCACCGAGATCTGGGCCCTCAGCAGGAAGGTGTCCATCCTGTCTCACCAGTCTGGGGCTCCTTCAGTGATGGTACAGATCAGCAGCCTGCGCCTCAGACGCTTCCCACCCTAGCATCTCCAGAGAGTGCCAGTGGCTGCCGTATGTGTGACTTGAACACGCACATGCACAGCTGGGGGCCATACTGGGCAGGCAATCCACTGACAGTGACGGACAAAGACAGTCCTTGACGTGGCTGCAGAGTGCCAGCCTTCCCCATGACACCCGCCTTGGCAAGCCTCCAATTCACGTACACACGCACCCCCCTGCACACTGACACGCAGAAACCCAGACTGAGGTTGCTGCGGGCTTGGCGCTTCCAGAGAAGACGCAGGGGCAGGGCCTAGGGGGAGGGGCTCAGGAGACTATAGGAGCAGGGAATGCAGACCTTAGAGGAGATGTAGGAACAGTGTGGCTGGGGCAGGTCCCCCACACGATAAGGGCGGTGGGAGATGATACTAAAGGGTGTTGAGGGCCCAGGAATCTGACCCGGCAGGATGAGGGCGTGGCGAGAGGGTTCGCAAGCATGAGATCAGGGGAAGAGCCTCTGGGAGGAGTGGGATAATTAATGGGGTGACATATGGAGGCTACTGGGGATACTTAGGGTGGGGAGGCTAGGAGGGTCGGTGAGCTGGGTCTGCGTAGAAGTCCGCCCTACCTCTCCGGGGAACTGCCATCTGGGGCCAAGAGCTCCCCGTCGGGCTGTTGCTCCCCTTCCGGACCCGAGCCGGGAGCCGGACCGCTGTTGCCGCCGCTGCCGCTGCTAACACCGTCCATGCCCGTGGGCGGCGCCGCTGTCCGGGCGCTGGTGCTGAAGCCGCGGCGGCAGTGGCGGTGGTGGCGGCGGTGTCAGGATCTTGCGCATGCGTCTGCAGCAAGCGGGACTGTCGCTGGGCGGGGCCGAGGAGGAACCCAGCCAATGGACGCGGCGCCGAGGGGCGGGGACTGAGGCTTGCTGCGGGGCCGCTGCGCTGTGCTGGAGGCTCTCCGCCTTGATTACTGCGGGTTTAGGGGCGTGGGCCCCACCATCCTGGTAGAGTCTGAGAGCTGGTCTTAGGATTCTGGCCGTCTGATCCTTCCTGGGGTCCTCGAGGGACCAAAGATGCACAGGCACAGAATCTCACAAATTGAAATGTAGACTCTTCATTTGGAAAGGGCGCATCTTTACGTCTGCACTTTACAGCGCTGGACGTAGAGGTCCAGAGGAGAGGTCGGATGACTTTAGTCCTACATTTCTCTGGGCTCCGCTCAGCGCCCTCCTGTCTTCCCTAGAGGGGCTAGGCATCTGCTCATATTGGGTCTTTCTTCCCATCAGTATGGACTTGGACCTGGACCTGGGTCCGCACCCTTCAGATGTGGAGGCCCAACAGTGTTATTCAAGTGCAGCTTATGGTGGAGGAAGAGAGACACTCAGACCATCTCCAGTTCATTTTTTTTTTTTTTTTTTTGGAGACAAAGTCTTACTCGCCTGGGCTAGAGCGCTATGGCCTCAGCCAACCTCAAACTTCTCTTGCCCCTGCCTTCTGAGTTGCTAGGAGTATAGGTACCTGCCACCGTGCCCAGCTAATTTATTTTTAGTAAGACAGGGTAGGACTCTTGCTCAGGCTGTACTCCAGCTCCTGAGCTAAGCCCTCAGCCTTCCCCCTCAGCCTTCCACAGTGCTGAGATTACAGAGTGAGCCATCACCCCTGGGGGCCAGTTTCCTTTACAGTCACCCTTATCCCCCACATCAGCCTGGGAGGTACCGATAGCCACTCACTCCAGGGCACTTGCCGACTCCCACATCAAGAGTAGCTGTGAGAAAGGGGGAAATGGAGCACATTTTCTTGAGAGTGATGGACATAATTAGAAGACTGGCAAAAGTAGAATAGATATTGGCAGTGAGAGAAGCCTGCGGGTAGGAGAGTGGAGCAGGCCTAGGATGTGGGATTCGGATAGGTAGGAAGGTTTTCACAGCAAGCAGGATGTTTAGGGTTTGCTGCATGGGCAGGGAGGTAGGTACATTGGCTGAAAGTATGACCCTGGGAGAGAGTCAGAACGCAGGAGTGTTTGAACTATATCCCTAAAATGTGTGCCAATGCCAGTCTATGAAGGGCACAGGTCTTAAGGGATGGGGTGGGAGAATTTAGAGGTGTAGAAGTGATGAGTCTTCCCGGAATAGCTTACAATTTGGTGGGAGAGATAAAGGGTCAGCCTATATATACCCACTGGGCAGAGTATGGTCAGGCCCACGAGATGGGCCTCTGCAGCTCGCTGTGAACAAGGGGGCACTGTACAAAGAGACCTCTCTCTTTCTAATGGGCCTTGGGGAAGGCTTTATGGAGATGGAGCTTCAGCTGAGTTGGAAGGCAGAGTAGGCTTTGAAAATGTGGAGGCAGGAGAGAGAGAAAGCATTCCTGACCTGGGCTGTAGGTCAGGGAACTTTGCAAACAAAGTTAAGGAAATTGGAAAGTTTGATGTATTTTCAGGGAACGGTGAGAAATCCATCTGGACAGTTAGGAGTCATTAAAGGCTTCAGATCTAGAGAGTGAGATATGTAAGCTGGGACCTTGGAAGACCCACTAGATCTGGGTGTACAGGATGGGTTAGAGGTGATGAGGTCACACTGGAGGCCCCATAATGAGAGGAGGCAGGAGTGAAAAGGAAAGGAGAGGTGACCTTCTACAGCCATATACAGTGAGGACCACTGAACCAAGCTTCTGAGAATGCTAGGCTAAGTGCCTTAGTTTCACAACTAGAGAATTCAGAGACAATCAGGTCCTCTAATCATTAGGTTGTATGTGAAGGAAGACCTGGCTCATTTAAGAATATAACATGGCCTCCAGGAGGCTGTTTATTAGGAAAAAAAGATTTTGGTTCCTGTCCACATGCCAGGTCTGCAGGGCAATTCACTCAGGCTATCCATATTGTGTCTTTTCTTATTCCTCAGTGATATGGGCCATGGCAGGAAGGGGGCCCACAGGGCCCTGGGCCGTGGCCTGGAGGTGGCCCACAGGGCCCAGGGCCGTGGCCTGGAGGTGGCCCACAGGGCCCTGGGCCGTGGCCTGGAGGTGGCCCACAGGGCCCAGGGCCATGGCCTGGAGGTGGCCCACAGGGTCCTGGGCCAGGAGGGGGCCCACAGTGACCTGGAGGATGCCCCCCACCATGGTGCCCAGGGCCATGGCCATGACCGTGTCCTCCACCATGGCAGTGCCCCTGTAGAAAGGCAAATGATCGATGTCAGAGTCAGAGGTCAGTGCCAATACTCCCTGAGATCAACTCCCCCTCACCCCACTTCCCTGGTGGGCTCAGGATTCCTGGGCAAGCAAGGGGTCGAGGGCCAGGTGTCAGGGATAGTAAGTGAAGTTCCTAGCCCTGTGCCTTTGCCTGACAGAGTGCTAAGCAGACAAAGAGGGAGCAACCTAGACTTTATTGGATTCTATTCCTCAAGCTGAGATATGACTTCTACTCCATGGACCTTGGTTTGTCTTACCTGTCTAAGAAGCAGAATTATCTTATATCCTCCCTTCCCTCACCCAGGAAGCTTTGCAGAGTGATGAGAAGCTTTCCCACACTAGAAACCGCAGGCTCACTGAACATGGAGGAAAGTCGAGGTGGGGGGGATGGTGCAGAGGAGCTCACTGAGGGCCTGGGGCAGGGGAGACAGGAGGCTGGGTAGGGGCTGTGTGGGAGCGGAGAAGGAGGAAGAGGACAGCTGGAGGGTGAGAGGAGACCAAGGGGACGAGGTGACAAGGTGAGGATATGTGTGTTCTCTGTGTAGGGGTGTATGTAAGGTGTATACTGCATTTAGAGACATACCGTCTTGCTTCTGCACTAGGGCACTATGGGCTGGGGCCCTGTGGAGCAGGGTTGGAGATATACTTCTACCTAGGGGTTGGATAACTCCCAGCCTTCTTCTGCCTCTTAGGGCCTGATTAGGGCTCGGTACAAGTTGGAAATAGGCAGGCTTTGGGGTTGGAGGCTTTCCTGTGGCCCTGTTAGAGCATTCCCTGCCCTATCAGGCCTCCAAGATGCCTGGAAACAGCCACTTCCTACCTGCCTCTCCTCCTATGGCTCCTTTGTTTGGGGGGAGGGAGGGACAAAGATCCAGGCGTAGGAGCTGGGTCTGCTGGTAGTAGCCAATGGAGGGAAGAGGTGGAGGATGGGCAGCCTGCCTTCTCTGGCAGAGGCAGGTCCTTGGAGCTGAGCAGAGTGGTTGGGGCTTGGGAACAGGCCAGCGGCCCAGCCAGGGTATGGAGGTAGCCAGGAACACAGAGAAGCTTAGAACAGGCGGGGAAGCAGCAGGAGAGAGGATGGGCTGCTGGGGCAGGGAGAGGATGTGAGAAAGAAAGAGAGACAGATGGGAAAACAGAGGAAAGGACGCCAGAAGGCTGCGGCCAGCAGGGGGTGGAGGACCGATGCGACGCTCCGCCCTGTGGGGGCTGGTGTCAGAGCCTGCTCCCTACTTGTCATTTGCAGGAAGTGGTGGCTACTCCCTGAGGGTCTAGGAAGGAGCTGGGGGTCTGGAGGGCATGGCAGTGGGGAGGAAAAGGGGGAGAGGGTTGGGGAATTCTCCTACCTTTCGACCTGTGGGAGAGGAAGGGAAATAAAGAGGCAGCATCGGTCATTTTAGTCAGCAGTGAAAAACATGTCTACTCCCTAGTGCTGAGCTTGTGCGCACACCTCTACGCCCAACAATCCCTCCTTCCTTCATTCACTCAACAACAGGCACATAGTGAAAGTGAATACAGAGTTTAGCTGTGCATACCCGTGTGCTCAATCCTGGCTGAGTCTTTCTGGGTGCACTGGGGCCGATTAGGAGGTGTGGGTTCTTGTCCCCCCTCTGTCAGTTCTCTGCTCTCCCAACCTCAGCTGAACTCCATGACACTAGGGAGGCCTTCCAGAGAGGCAAAACCTGATTCTTCCATTTCCTCATGGCTTCACCCCAGTACCCCTGTTTGCCCTCCCTTTCTCACATCCACTTATCTCAGCCTCTGCTCAGCCTGTCAGAGCTGTGTGGTGATGCCTGTGTAGGACTTTCTAGTCTCGGCACTTGACTTTGGTGCATGCCTCCTGCCATGTGGAAATCTCTCTAGCCTAACCTTGTGGTAACTTCCTCCAGGAAATCCACGTGGATTGGGCCACAGCTGTGGGTGTAGTGGGCTCATTCTGTACAGCCTACCCGAGAGGCCTTGGATCAGTGGTTCTCAACCTTCCTAACCGCAAGCCTTTAATACAGTTCCTGTGGGTTGTGACCCACCGGTTGAGAACCGCTGCCTTGGATGTTAAGAAAGGCTCCAGTGGTGGTGGGAATTACCTGCTATATATATATGTATATATATATACACACACACACACACACACATATATATATATATATATATTTTTTTTTTTTTCCAGTTTTTGGCCAGGGCTGGGTTTGAACCTGGCACCTTTGAGCCATAGGTGCCGCCCATACCTGCTTATTTCATAAAGTCCAGCAGGATGGTCTTTTGTTCCTTTTGAGGTGAGCTCATGGCACAACTGCTGACAGCTGGGTTCTGGGCTCTAATTGAGCCATACATCCATGCTCTTACCCTGAGCATGCCCCTGGCTCCCCTAGGCCTCACATGTCCTATGGTAGAAGCACCTGCCTGTGTTACTTCTGAGGTTGAAGATTTAGCGAGGAGGATGGGGAACATGTTTCTCAAACTATAACATGTTCTATAGAATTTAAGGGCTTGTTTTCATTATGTACCCTCCCACCACCTTTACACACACACACACATACACACACTTTTGGTGTGTAGTAGATATGGCTCACTGATAGCTTGTGCCTTCCCCATTCTCCTTCCCTCTCTCTTCCTTCTTCCAGCCCACGGTCTCCCAGCCACAGTGCTTACCTGGATCCATCTTAATGGGCAAGAGCAGAGAGAGACACAAGGAACACCTGTGTTCAACAAGTAACGTTTTAGTTTACTATATAGTAAATCGCAATCTTTCTTCCCAGGGATGCACACATACAGCTCCTTCAAAGGACAAAAGGCATAAAACTGCTCCCTTGGCTTAGCGTGGCACCCAGTATGAAGCTGGCACTGTAGGTGCCAGGCGTGGGTGTTGACTGTACATAATGGGTTCGCCCACATGGTGAGGAAACAGAGACACAAGAGAGCACCCTGCATTGGCTGTGAACTTCATACTCTCACACCTGTCCCCTGCCTCACCCTGCTTCATAATCATGTGTCAATTCATTTCGATCATGTTGATTATTCATTTGTGTGCCTGCCATGTGCCAGGTCATGGTACCCCATCCCTAAAGATTCTTGTCTCTGTGTAAGCATCTGGCATAGGTGTGAGAGAGGGAGGCTTGGAAAGATTAGTGTACTCAGAGCAGGGAAGGGGATGGTGGGATAGTGGGTGGGTGCCTCTGAGGGATCCAAGGCACTCTATGATCTTTGCCCTGAAGCACAAGTGATCGGAAAGCCCTCCAGGGTCCTAGAGGCTTGTTCATATCTCCTCCCCCGGTATTGGAAGGGAGTGTGAGCTTGGGATCACCAACAAGCCTTGCTTTCCTCAGGGGGAGGATGTTGAGGTGCCCTGGTGCCAAGGTTGGCCTTGCCTTGCTTGAGGCTGGCATGCAAGTCACAATGAACAACCCCAGAATGGAACTAGTGCCCACATAGTATGTTCATTTTTTAACCTGTAGATCAGAGTATAGTATGTGTCATCAGGACCAAATATTTAATACATGGCCCATGGCTCGGTGCCTGTGGCTCAAGTGGCTAAGGTGCCAGCCACATACACCTAAGGTGGCGGGTTCGAATCCAGCCCGGGCCCACCAAACAACAACGACAGCTGCAACCAAAAAAAAAAAAAAAAAAAAATGGCCATGGGTTGTGGCAGGCGCCTGTGGTCCCAGCTACTTGGGAGGCTGAGGCAGGAGACTCGCTTGAGCCCAGGAGTTGGAGGTTGCTGTGAGCTGTGATGCCACGGCACTCTACCCAGGGCTACAGCTTGAGGCTCTGTCTCAAAAAAAACAAAAACATGGCCCTCTGGTACTCATCTGGTTGCTGAGCGTACAAGTGCACGCAGTCCCTCCAAATATGATGGCCCCATTCTCTTGCAAGACATGGCCCCCTGGCACCTTTTAAGCCACTCATTTTCATTGGCTTCTGCTTGTGCCACAAATGTTCAGCTGAGGTCAGCCTGGGCTCCATAGCCATAGTCCTTCTGCTCCCCTATCCTTTCCCTTAGTGAGTGATGAGGCTGGAAGAGACCTATAGGGCAGGGCTTAGGGGGAGGGAGAGGTAAAAAAGCACCTTGGAGCCAGTCAGGATCTGGGTAAGAAGGAGCAGAGACAATGGCTGGACTACACCTCTGCAATTCAGGCCCAGGTGTCTGAAGGACACGAGTTGGTAGCTTGGGAAAGGACCTAATACATTCCCTTCAACCCTCAGCTAAGCCCCCTCTGCCTGGCATGGAAGAGGCTGTAAACTAATTATAACTCAAGTGGGGCAGGGCAGATGGACAGATAAGCATGCACATGCACAGCCATGCAAAGACACAGAGGCACAGATACCAATTCAATATGCACCCACACACATGCCCAAGGAGACCATGACATATAGACACTCACACACAGGGACCCCTGCAACAAAAGCCAGAGCCAAGTCCTTACCTGAGAGTGCAGAGCAGGGGCAGGAAGTCTAAGGTGCTGCCTGTCCTCAGGTGTATTTGTATGCGATAGGGAGGGGCTGGGGTTGGCCATGTGCCCTGGGAAGGTCACAGGCAGAGGTTATGAAGCAATAAGGAGGGGTTAAACATTATCTGAGCAAAGAGCAGCTGGAAGCAGGATGTGTGTGTGAGAGTGTGCATGCGTGTGTGAGTGGGGAGAAGATACGGGGAGTAGGGAACAACCCATTGCCAGATTGGAATGTAGTGAGATGCCACAGAACCAAGGCAAGGGTCCCCTACCCTGACAAGTCTGTTTAGCACCCAGAGACTAGCTCTACAATAGGTAGATTTCCTACTGAATGCCAGGCCATGCATGGGGTGCTTAATACACATTAGATAACCCACTGACTCTTATAAAACAGATAGAATGGAGGAGGAAATAGTGACTCTAATGAGGGACCTACTGGAATCTTTGTCCTGAGTGCCAAGCCCTGGGCACAAGTTCTCTCTCTTTTTTTTTTTAGGAGGGTCATATTTTATTTTATTTTATTTTTATTTATTTATTAATTTTGAGACAGAGCCTCAAGCTCTCACCCTGGGTAGAATGCCATGGCATCACAGCTCATAGCAACCTCCAACTTCTGGGCTCAAGGGAGTCTCCTGCCTCCACCTCCCAAGTAGCTGGGACAACAGGCGCCCGCCACAACGCCCGGCTATTTTTTGGTTACAGCTGTCATTGTTGTTTAGCAGCCTGGGCTGGATTTGAACCTGCCAGCTCAGGTGTATGTGGCTGACGCCTTAGCTGCTTGAGCCACAGGTGCCAAGCCTGGGTACAAGTTCTTAAATGTGCTTCCCAGTTCAGGGAGCTAGGCTGGGAATGGAAATTACACAGAAAAGGAGACTTTTGGGATAGGATCTAGGCAAGTGGGAAGGAAGCCAGGATGCCAGCTTGCTCTGCACTCTGGTGCCCTTTGACCTTTGTGGCCACTGCTGCCAAAACTTCTTTCTGGGTGTGTTTTGACTATGGTAGCCTCCCATAGTCCCTGCAGACAGATCAGGTGCCACTGCTTCAAAATCTCCCATCTTCTTGGATCCTTACTTCTAATGTCTCCTGGTCCCAGTGAACTATGCACTTAGAATGCAATGACCAAGGTGGCTCTCTTAGTCACCTTTATGTTCCAAGGGACAAGTCCATGGGAGTTCTCCTGGCATCAGCGGGTGCTCAGTAAATATTTGTGGATGAGTGGTCGATTATTATAGGGTAATAACTGGCTTCCATTTATTTTCTTTCTGCCTTTTTTTTTGGTCTAGACTAGTATGTAAATTTTGTGTGTGTGACTTCCATTCCTGTAGTTTATATTTTCTGTTTGTTTTTTCCTTCCTTTTAAACTTTTTAAACATTTTTTAGAAAGAGTCACACTTTGTCACCCTCAGTAGAGTTCTGTGGCATCATAGCTCACAGCAACCTCAATATCTTGGGTGCAAGCAATTCTCTTGCCTCAGCCTCCCAAGTAGCTGGGACTACAGGTGACCGCCACAATGCCTGGCTATTTTTTTGCTACAGTTGTCATTGTTGTTTGGCAGGCTCAGGACAGGTTTAAACCCACCAGCCCCGTGTATGTGGCCAGCACCCTCACTG